GAACAGAACAAGGGGTTACTGCATGGTTTAAAATCAGGAAGGGAATGTGTCAGGGTTGTATCTTTTCACCATACTTATTCAATCTGTATGATGAAGAAGCTGGATGACATGAAGAAGAATATGGTATGAAGATTGGAGGTAGGCTCATTAACAACTTGCGATATGCAGATAAAACAACTTTGCTTGCTGAAAGTAAGGATGACTTGGACCATTTACTGATGAAGATTAAAGACTACAGTCTGCAGTATGGATTACACCTCGATATAAAGAAAACAAAAATCCTCACAATTGGACCAACCTAAGCAGCATCATGATAAATGGAGAAAAGATTGAAGTTGTCAAAGACTTCATATTACTTGGTTCTACAATTGAGGCCAATGAAAACAGAAGTCAAGACATCAAAAGACATATTGCATTGGGAAGATTTGTTGCAAAAGACTTCTTTCAAGTGCTGAAGAGCAAAGATATCTCCTTGAAGACTAAGATGTGCCTAACCCAAGCCATTGGTATTTTCAATCGCCTCATATGGATGTGAGAAGTGGACACTGAAAAAGGAAGACCAAAGAAGAGTGGATGCTTTTGAGTTGTGGTGTTGGAGAAGAATGCTGAAAGTACTGTGGATTGCTAAAAGAACTAACAAATCTGTCCTGGAAGAAGTGCAGCTGGAATGTTCCTTGGAAGCAAGAATGGTCAGACTTCATCTCACCTACTTTGGTCATGTTGTCAGAAGGGACCATTCTCCAGAGAAGGATTTCATGCTTGGTAAAGTGGAACATCAACAAAAAGGGGGAAGGCCCTCAACAAGATGGACTTACAGGGTGGCTGCAGCGATGGGCTCAGGTATAGTAGGGATTGTGAGGTTGGCACAGGACTGGGCAGTATTTCATTCTGTTGTACATAAGGTCACTATCAGTCAGAGACAACTTGACAACACTAAACAGCAACAACACAACAACAAAATATATATGAACTTGTTGATAAGATAAATACGGGTAATTTCTCTTTATCTGAAATTTTTGTATGGGAATATATATTATATTTTAAATTAATATTTTTTAAAAGGAACATTTTTAAATGCTATAGGTATCATTTGTGATTAATTCTTACTTGTAGTTATCCATGTCTGTTTCATTCTGTTGAATATCTCTATCCATTTCTGCTTTAATTTGTTCAGCATTCAGTTTGGTATTTTGACAGTTTTCTGTAGCTTCTTCAAGTTCTTCATGAACATTTTTGTACTTTTCCATTACCTTGAAATGAAAAAAAATATTCTTGCTAATAGATGGAGATGATTTAACTTCTTCCTTTCTAATTCTAATTTATTTTTTCTTCACCTTTTCCAATCACTCTGTCTAGAGCTCTCAGTATAATGGTGAATTTAAAAAAAAAATAATAAACTCACTGCCATCGAGTTGATTCCAACTCATAGTGACCTCCATTGGGTTTCTGAGGTGGTAAATCTTTACAGAAGTAGATTTCCTGATCTACCTCCCACAGAGTGGCTGGTAAGTTTGAACCTCCAACCTTCCGATTAGCAGTCAAATGCTTTAGGTACTACACTACCAGACCTCCTTATAATGCTGAATATAAGTGGTAAAAATGGGCATTCTTCCCTTCTTTCATGATATTAGAAGGAATGCTTTCATTGTTTTACCATTGTGTGTAATACTAGCTGTGGGTGTACTCATAAATACACTTTATCTTGTTGATGAAGTTCCTTTCCATTCCTAGTTTATTATTTTTGTCAATAAAGAGTCCTTTTTTTTTTTTGAAAAGTGTATTTATTGTAGAGAATACACATTGCAGCTCATACACCAACTCAATCATTTCTCCATGTATAATTCACTGACATTGATTACATTCTTTGAGCTGTGCAATCATTCTCACCCTTCTTTTCTGAGTTGTTCCTCCGCAATTAACATAAACGCATTGACCCATTTCCTATCTAATCTTTCAAGCTGTTGACAATCTCATCCTATATAAACAGATCTTCAAAGAGCTCGGTATTCAAGGTAGGTATTTCTTACTCGTTAAGAGAAACTATTCTTTTGAGAAGAATTCACAGGATATTTTTGGTTTCTGTTTTAAAGATTATTTCGGGGCAGTAATTTCAGGGTTCATCCAGACTCTAGGGCCCAGATAATCTTGATTTCTATGAATTTTGAAATTTTATTCTGCATTTTCTCCCTTTTGATCAGAACTCTTCTAAAGAAACTTGGATCAAATCATTTAGGCACCACCCAGGTCTGGTCTCATGGCAAAGGAGGCAGTTGTTCACAGGGCTAATTAGCCACACTTTTAATTTCCTTCTCCTATTCTTCCTCCTTCCTTCCACTCCTTCTTCCTCTCCTTCATCCTCTGTTGCTCCAGGCAAATAGAGACCAATTGTTGTACTTTGCATGGCCACTTGCAAACTTTTAAGACATGAGACACTACAATGAACTAGGAAATAGAACAGCAACCAATTAACTGGGATGTCTCATGAAACCATGACCCTAAACCTCCAAACAAAGAACCAAATCCCATGATATGCTTAGTTGTACATAAGCAGACTCAGAAGCTACTCTTTTTTGTTTTGCTGTTGTAATTATACCTATTATACAATTTTTACCAATTGAAATTTTTACAAATGTAATACTTACTGACATTAATTACATGAATTGGCTGTGTAACCCTACCCTTACCAAAGCAATTTTTCTATCACTATAAACAAAACAGTACTCCAAAGCAAAAATCTTTGACAAAATATCCCTCTTTTTGATGTGATCATGTATTTTTATTTTTCCTTTTTTTCTGTTAATGTGATGTGTTACACTGATTAATTTTCATACAATTGAACCTCACTTGCATTCCTCAGATACACTTCACTTGATCATGATTATAATCACCTTAATGTTCTACAGGAATGAGGTTATTAACATTTTATTGGGGATTTTTGCATCTATTTTCATATGGAATATTGGTGTATGTATTTCTTTTCTTAGGATATCATTGTCTTGTTTTGGTCTCAGAGTAATGCTGGCCTTATAAACTGAGTTAGGAAGGGTCTGCTCTTACTTTTTGTTAGAGTTTGTGAAGGATTAGTGCTAATTCTTCTTTAAATGTTTGGTAAATTCATCAGTGAAGACATCTGGTGCTTTCTTGTAGGTATCTTGGTTATCCAGTGGTGCTACAGCAGAAGAAATACAATAAGTGGGTGACTTTAATAAATAGAAATTTATTTTCTCACGGTTTAGGAAGCTAGAAGTCCAAATGTAGGTGTTGGCTCTAAGGGAAAGCTTTCTTTCTCTGTTGGCTCTAGCAGAATATCCTTGTGTCCTGTTCATTTCTGTTCCTTGGCTCCTTGGTGTCTTCACGTGACAAGGCATCTGTCTTTCCCATCTCTGCTTGCTTTTCTGTGCCTCATCTACTCTTTTTATATGTCAAAGGCGACTGGCTTAAAACACACCCTACACTGAAATGGCCTCTTAACCTAGCATAGAAAACCCATTCCCAAATGGGATTATAACCACAGGTTAGAATTTATATTTTTGGAGAATACAATTCAGTCAGTAACACTAGGGATGTTTTTATACTAATCAGTCATTTTACCTGGTATAAGTCTGTTCAGATTTCTTGTTTCTTCTTGAGTCCTTCTAGGTAGTGTATATTGTTTTATAATTCCTCTGGGAAATAAATGGCACGTCAGTTTTCAATAAAAATGAAACTTTCAAAGATATATTCATTTTTTACGGTTTAAATCGTTTTGGAGAACTCAGTAACATTTTGTGAAATGCATGTCCATTTATTTATTCATTTACCTCAAATTTTTTTAAGTAACATTCCCTCAGAGCTTCAAGTTCCTGCTTCTGCTTCGAGTCCAGGAGAGGGGCGTGCTCATTTATATAGTCTATGTCTGCTTGGATCTTTGCATTAGCTTCTTCTAACTTTGTCTTTTCTTCCTTTAAATTTTCTAGTTGATGAGCTTTATCTCCAAGATGCCATCGTAGTTCTATAATATCTCTCAAATATGTCTCATGTTCTAAAAATAGAATAAGTATTAAAAAAATTAGATTTTAAAGCATAAACATCCAGAAGAAAAACTTTAATTCATTATAATGAAATATGATATATTTTCTTTTCAGAAATTACATATATAAGTATTACACAAAAAAAATAAAAACAACCCTCACTGCCATTGAGTGGATTTCATCTCATAACAACCCCCACTGGTTTTCCAAGGCTGTAAATCTTTATGGAGGTAGATTGTCCCATCTTCCTTCCATGGAGCAGCTGGTAGGTTATGAACCGCTGACCTTCTGGTTATCAGCCAAATGCCTTATCCACTATGCCACCATAGGTTCCTTTCTATGAGTCTTACTAAAGCTAAAATAGGAATTATTTTAATACTGCTTTGTAAAATATGTTGCTTTCTATGTTCATCATGCAAAAGTTTCAGAAAAATAAGTTTCATCACACAAAATGTTTCAGAAGTCAGTAATTGTTTTAGTATAAGTCCTTTTCATTACAATCAGTGCATAAATACATAACTGAGCTATATATACCCATTACCTTTGAGTCCATTCTAACTCATGGTGACTCCATGTGTGACAGACTACATTTACCAGAGAGTGTTTTCTTAGCTATAATCTTTACAGAAGCAGAGCAGCATTCTTTTCTTCTGTGTTGCCACTGAGTGGTTTTGAACCACCAAACTTTATGTTAATAGTTGGCTGTAAACCATTTGCCTCACCCTGGGGCCACGGGCCATGTATATAAAATCTATATAACTTCTCTTAAGTAGGAAAAATTGCAAGAGTACAGGCCTTCCAAAACCTCTCAGAAGTAAAAAGATGCAATAAGACTTACAAATATCAGAATGGAAAAGACAAAAATGATTATTATTTTCTGATGAAACAATTCAATATCAAAATAAACAAAAGAATCAAATGAAAAATATTATAAGTGGTAAGGTAGCTCATGTAAAATTAATATACAAAATAAATATTTTTCTATATAAATGAGGAATATGCTGAAGACAATAATCTCATTCACAAAAGCAAAAATAAAACATAAAATAAATGCATAAATCAAGCAATAAACATAATATGAGCATGCCAGGACTATAGGAAGAAAATTTTTAAAATGATATCAAATGACAAAAAGTGGATTGAGTACATGTATAAAAACATTGAAAATTTTATGGAAAATTCCCTCAATTGATTTATAAATTTAATTAAATCACAACAAATGGACAATTTTAGAGAGATAAACATATTTTCTCATTATCTTAATTATGCTTATACTATTAATCCAATTTTGCATTCTAGAAATAAAACTAGGTTGTCTATGGCTATAATCCTGATAAATTTCTTGATGTGATTTTTTTTTTCTGTTTTTACTTAAGAATTTTTTATATTTATATCATGACTTAGGTCTGTAATTTTCTTATTTTTTTTCTCTTTTTTGTACTGTTTTTGTCTAACTTTGGCTTATAGATTACAATAGCTTCATATATCAGCTGAAGATATTTTTTTTTCTCTAAAAATTGATGAAAGTTTAAAATTGCTTATATAGCCCTGTTACCCTAATATGTATTTAGTAATTTATTTTGGGGAAGAAAGTTTTTAATAATTTAATCAAAATGTTTCTTTTAATGATATGAATATCTTAAGCAGCTATTTATTCTTAATTTGTTTCTATTAGTTTATCTATTTCATCAATATTTCAATAACATTGTGAGAAACTTGTTGTTAATATGTATGTTATAATTGTTGTTGTTGTTGTTGTTATGTGCCGTCGAGTCAAACCTGACTCATAGCGACCCCTCCTTGGGTTTCCGAGGCAGTATCACTACGGAAGTAGGATTGCCCAACCTTCCTTCCGAATGTTATAATTAATCACTTATATATCCACATGACAGTAACAACATATCTCTACTTATGACCCATTTTCATTCCTGATCTTCTATGCACATTCTCTCTCTCTCTCTTTCTCTTTCTTTTTAAATTATTTTGGTTAATCATGCCATACTCAAACCAAAAACTAAACTCACTGCCATCGAGTTGATTCCAACTCATAGCGACCCCCTTTGAGTTTCCAAGGCGGTAAATCTTTACGGAAATAGATTTCCCAGTCTTCTACTGAGTGGCTGGTGGGCTTGAGCCTCAAGCAGTCTGACTAGCAGTCAAGTGCCTTGTTTTTCCATTATTCTCTTTTCTCCTTATTGTGTCTATAATAAGTCAAAATTTGTTTTAGCATTTGTCCAAATTATATATTTCTTGTTTATATTATCACTTTGTTTTTGCTTTTTTCCTTTTTCCTCTGTATTTTTTTTCCCTTTTATTTTTCTAAATGCTGACATCATATATTTAGATAATTTTAAGTCACTCTCTTTTGGTGTAGCAAAAGCTATTGCTTTCTCTTTAAGTAACAAGTTAGCTTTTTCTCACACATGTGGAAATAATTTTTAAATGATACATTTCTACATACTTGCTAATTTCTTAAATATGTACAATGCTTAGCACCATCACTTTCTTGCTTTTTCTTCACTATTAGACAGTAACATATTTGTTCGGAAGAGTCAGCCATTATCTCATTAAATATCTCCATTGCTAGCTTCATCAGCATCTTTTGTTTGACGTTCATTTTATCTTCTCATTCTATACTCTATGCTGTTAAATCTTTTATTCAGCTTTTCCTTCTTTCTGTGTTGCCGGGATGCATTCCATGTAATTTCTTCCGTTTTTTTCTTTTCTCTACTGAGTCTAAGAACATTTAAACAACATTGAGTTGTTCATTTCAAGTAGTATATAAGGATGCAATCTCAGAGGTAATTCAATAGCTGAAAATTTTTAGTAAGATTCGCTTGTCTGTTTCTATTGATTTCACTGGTGGAAACTGGATTTTTGTGTGTTCTGATTTATGTGATATTAAGTTACTCCTTTTCTTGGAATTTTGATCCAAGGGACTTCCTTAGTGTTTATATTAAAGGTCTAGTCTTCCAGAGTAAATTTTCCTCTGCTATAGCCAGATGCCTGGCTTAAATACCAGCTCATGAAACATTTCAATGACATCCTCCACCTAACAATTTCAGACCACACAGACAGCAGTAATTTAAGTCACAAATCCATTTTATATCAGTTCTTTAAGAATGTTCAGAGAACACTGCTTTTATTGTTGTTGATGTCTGTTTGTTTTTCCCTCCACTGACAAAGTGAAACAAAAAAGTTTCTTAGTTGTTCAATCTGTGGGACCTACTGATTCATCACTCACTCTTTTGCTGAAGGTGAATTCTCAGCTTGATGGCATGGTGTGTAATTTGATGCGCCACTTTTGGTGAATCTTAGTCTTTATCTATAGTCTTCAGTACACAAGAGATGTACTGAAATGAGAACTCAAGGACATCAAAGTTTGGTGGATTGGTTCGGTGCTAAATCTGACAATGATGCCTATTTATCTCCAAAAAACAGCATTTCAAAACTGAAATTTTGATCTCTCTGTGTTTGTTGCTTTCTTCACAGTTTGACAGGATATTTTTAAAAAATGAAAATACATGATCAAAACCTGACACAGTTGAAAAACATGTGACATAATTAATTTTTAGTTGAAATCATAGTTGGAGATGTCAATATTCCTCTCAAAAATGCAAAGAAAAAAACAGAAAATAATTAAAGATATAGAGGACTTGAAAAGTACTACCAACCTGGCCCAGTGTTTATAGGACATGCCACCCAAAGCAGAATGCACATGATTTTCAACATCCACAAAACACTTTCCCAAATGAAAGATATGTTAGGGAATTTTAAAAATCTGAATAATTTTAACATAATTGAAACCATTAAAAAATGTATTCATAGTACACAATACAGAATTAGAAATCAACTAAAGAAATAAATAAGTGAAAATCCCAAAATATTTGCAAATTAAATAGCAATGTATAAATAAATAACAGGTGCAAAAGAAAAAAAAAAAAAAACAGAGGAAACAAGAAAATATTTTGAACCAGAAAACAATGAACTCACAACATATGAAAATCTGTGAAAGGCAACTAATGCAGTTCTTAGAATTCATGATTTTTAAATGTCTACACTAGAATATGGAGCTCTGGTGGTGTAGTGGATAAGGCATATGGCTGCTCACCAGTAGGTCCACGGTTCAAGCCCACGAGATGCTCTGCAGAAGGAAGACGGGACATCTACTTCTCTAAGACTGACAGCCTCAGAAACACAATGGGAATCACTATGAGTCAGAATCAACTCAATGGCAGTGAGTTTGAGTTTAGTTTATACTAGAAAAGGGAGAAGATACCAAGCGAATAATCTAATCTTACATTTCAT